ACCTCTGTGAAAGGCAGAACCTGGTTATCCAAACCATATCAAGAACAGTATCACATGTATGATGGTAACAAGCCCAACAAGGCTTCAGTTGGGTTTGACAGCACTATAGCAGGTTGACGACTGAAGAGCTTAATTACAGCTTTGCAGTTTGTTTGTCAGACTCACTTAAATATAGCCAGCACACCAAAGTCTTCAAGCCATTTGAGACGATTAACTGTGGGATAATTCCAGGCTTTCAGACTTTGCATTTTTAAGCTCTCTCTGATGACTCAGATTAATTTAGAGGAGACATGGAAGGAAGACAGGAGAGAATTAAGATACTCCTTTAGAAAGTGCAAGTAGGTAACAATATTTGGAAACAAAACTTCCTCCAAACCCATATATGGCAAATACTGAGCTAATACTATGGGGCCAAGAGCTGGCTGGACTTTTATGGAGAGCTAGACCCTGACTTATCTATGACAGATAACAGCCCCTTCCTCATCAATACAGGTGACATGGGGATCTCTGAGCGATCTAAAGGGCCTGCTCAAAGGGAAGATATTAAAGAGGCTTGGAAAGGGCTTGCTACTACAGTTCACTGATTGCTCAGGGAAGCAGTGCAAGGCAAACATTCGAAAAAGATCAGATGAATATTGGAGATATTCAGAAGCTGTCTGGACACGGTCCTGGGCAACTGGCTCTAAGCGGCCCTGCTTGAGCAGGGAGGTTGGACTAGATGACCTCCAGAGGTCCCATCCCTTTCCACCTCAACCTCTCTACGAACAATGTGAACAATGCATAGAGAGAGGTATGCTGGAAACGGCCAAAGACACAACAGCAGCTGGGATGATCTTACAGCAGCTAAAGAAGTGGATGTGTCCCCTGTGCAGAATTAATATGAAAGGGGCAAGACTCTAAATCACTAGTGCTCATGAGCTTAGCCAACCTCACATAGACTAAAACCCTCAGGTTTGGGGCAGGCAGAAACAGCTTCGTTTGCACTCTTTTCTCACATCTGAAATTTGTTAAGCAATGCTAAGGGAACACCAAATGAGGCAACATCTTTGGGGAGGAAAGAGGCTAAAGGCAAGCCCTGCAGTAGTGGGAGACACTGTTAAGGTTATAACTGCTTCAGGCACACGTACACCATATGGTTGAGAACAATCATTTCAAGGCAAAAACAAAAGTTAAATACTGTCCATATTTGGTATCATCACTTGTTGTTCTGACCAACGATCATGTATAATTACCTGGGCAGTAAGTTTTAATGTCAGTCTCCCAATGAGATCTAGTCTCTGCTTCAAACTCTAGTTCTACCATTTTCATGGCTATTAAAGTTAATGCCTATTTATTAGTCTCATATTCTATCTTCACTGACCATTGAGTTCTTGAAAGTTAATACCAACTCATGACTCCACCCTGGAGTACTCTCTTTATCCTGGGGATACCAGGCATGATGCTAGATACCACCAGATCAGAAGATGCTTTCTGGAATTTTCTGCCCAGTTTTACGTGAAACTTTTGTACAAGATAATTCTGTGTAACATACATCTCTGAACAAAGGAACTAGGAGGAGTTTGATTTTTGTGGTGTCAGGAGTAATAGGGGTAATTAATTGTGGATATGATTCCAGGAAAATCTAGAAATAGTATTCAGCGGTTAAAAGACCATACAACTCCCTTAAAAGAAGGCCTTTTGCAATTCACTTAGATGCATTAGCTTAAGTCTATTCTCAAATGAGACATGTCCAAGACTGCTGACTGCTAAGAATTCATTGTTTTGTTCTTCTCTTTCATTACCGCAGACACTGCTGTTATAAATTAAGAAAACATACACACACACACAAAAAATCTTGTGTGGGAAATCAGATATCCCTCAGGCAAGAAACACCTTCCACCACTACTTGGGTAATGGTAAAATGTTGGATTGGGGCTATGATGTTTCAACAGCAAACACAATTGCACTTCTGTGGAAGTGTTCCTATACCCTGGACGCCAATGCCAGAAGGCTCATTGCAGCTGAACACTGAACGAAGCAATTTTGGTGTCCAGCCATACCCTAGGGATTTGATTTTTGGGTGTATACTTAGGAAAATACCAGGTTTCCTTGCCCTACTTTTAAATTGGTATTTAAATTCCTAGGAACTTCACTGCTGTTTTCAACATCTAAATGTTTTTTTTAATAGGGTAACATAATTTCAAGTATTTGGAACCTGTATCTTGAGTAGGAATCTGTCATGTGTCAAATAATCTTTCAGGAGCAATATCCACCTAATAAACTTGCTGATATATAGACGTTAATAACAGCATTTGTATTTTTTGTGTTCAGTAAATGTGATGAACACCATTAGCATGTGAAGGAAAAAAGAGCTCCAAATACTCTGTCAAAGATTTGCAGAAGCATTTTTGGAGTCGTCTTCCTTAAACTCTGCAGCCATTTGCTATGAAGACAACCAAGACAGGGAACTGAACATGTCGAGACCCTTAGGTTCTGGTCAGAGTTGTAGCAGAGGCTTTCTGTGCACAGCAAACTTGGACAAAACACTGAATAAGATACGTTATTTGATCTCCCTTTACCTAAGTTTACTTCCAGGGGACTATTGCCCCTACCTAAGGGCGTGTGCTAAGTTCATGCTTGTATAGTGCCTATACCTTTTGATGGGAGTTTTTTCAGAGTTGCTAAACATTGTCACTATTATTGAGTAATAAACAAACAAGTTATTTGTGCCAACAGTCCAGGTCCTACCTGGGCACTATTTTGTACTGTGGTGTGAGGAAATTGTTTCATTTTCTTTTCTTTTCTTTTAAATGCCAGTACTTTTCCGAATCTCAAAAACCATTCCAAGTACAGTGCTTTTGATCTAACATTATTAGATCACCTTAGAGCAAAACAACTCAAGCACAGAAAAAAAGACTGTGCTTACAGAAAGCTTTCTGAATTGCAAGTGACCGTACAATATTTTAACACACCCAGTCAGCGAAACTTTCCACTCTAGCTGTAATATAATAAACCAGGACACTGCATCTGCTTTGGAGCCTTCCCTAATGGTGTCATATCCTCCAAAATTCTGAAAAAAAATTAAAGCTTTCTGTACCAGAGAAGGTCAGCATAGAACTCCATCTTCCCCCATGGCCCTAATGAATATCAAAGTTTCAGTACTTGGACCTTTGCTGATCTCAGCTGTGCCTCAGCATCGGTGGCAGAGAGGTGGGCTGCAAGCAGGCAGGCACCAAAATATTTGGGAACTAATACCATGCATAAGAATAGGAACTACCTGACTGTGTTCATAACAACACAGTCTTCTCAGTGATTTCTATCCTGCATCTTTTCTTAGTTCCAGCTTTCAGACAATTGAAAACTTAATCTGGGGTAGACAAAAACAATGACAGTCCAACACAGCAGTAATAAATTATTTCAGCACAACGATAAAGCAGAGAGATGTATTTCCTTGGATGCAGACCTGTAAAAAAACCTCTCAAACAATGAGCAATGGGGGCACAACCTCCACCAACTGAGCTGATAAAATCTCCTCCACATATGTCTCTTCTCTGCCTGGTAGTACCAGAATGCTTTACTTTGGCCACTTTGCTCTGACCCGAGGGCCAGACTCCACCAGAAATCAAATAATGTGCAATATTTTTCATACAGAAACTCCAGCGACCAGGATCGAACCCCATTTCAGCGCATTACAGAACTGCTACGCTCTGATTTAATATTTCCCTGGTGGTGGTTTTGCATATTAAAAGTAACTTGTGAATTGTGCTTGTGGCCTTACCATGTTGTTTTGTTTTGCTATGAGCAGACACAGATTAGATTTCTGGTCTCATACTCTTTACCCTGACTGAGTGGTAAAACGACAGCAAGATCAGAGCCTGGGGGGACAAGGACATGTCAGCAATCTGGCTAAGTAATTAAGCAATGAAATGATAGGTATGACAAGTAGTTTCATTCAATTCTTAAATTAAAGTACAGCAGCTCCAATACAAGGCAAACCAGATGATAATATGCATAAATTGGGAGAGATGTGCTGGAAGGGAAGCCTTCTATCCTCATCTTCCTACCCTTCAAAACAAGCAGTCAGCATGTATCAAACTCATTTTTAAGAAGGGCCCATTAACATATACTATTAAATGCTTATTTTGTTTAGAAAAGCACAAGTGGTGCTAACTGCTGAAACACTGGAGTTGAAATTCACACCAACAGAAGTTAGCTGTTGTAATCCTAAAATACCTACGCCACACATTGCCCTCTTCAACAGAAGTGAACTGGTATTTTCCCTTGACAAACACAGATGTATGTGCATATATAAGTATGCTTAGTCTGGACGTTCCTAATAAACAGTTAATCTGATTTAAAGTAGACTGTCATTTTTTTTAAATTACTTTGACATACCTATTGAACTGGACATATATAAATCCCAATACAAATAAACAGTATCCAGTACTAAGCTCTTAAAACCCAGATTTATAACAGAAACGTGGAGACAGACTCTTCAACAGGGGCAAGGCTTAGCGGCATTACAATAGATCAAGACAAAGTATTGTTCAACATGATTTTCTCCCTTCTCGATGGCATATCCAGCTGTCCCGTAACATTGAATTGAATCGTAACATGAAATGTGAAATTGCAAATGAAAGTGACTCCATTAAAATAAGAATTAAAACCTAAAATTGGTATTCTCATCACAGTTGGACAATTTATTCAATTACGGTTGGACTCGATGATCTTAAAGGTCTTTTCCAACCTAAATGATTCTATAATTCTATAATTTGTTACTGGAAGACTCTTTTCTTTGAAACTGCAGTTGCTGTTACTGTTTCATTAAGTCCTTAAAGAAAAAGTAAAAGCTCCTACTGCTGCTCTCTCCCTATGAACCAGCAAGTGAACAGAGATGAGCCAACACCTTATTAAGTACAAGCAAAGCTTTTAAGAAGGCCTGCAGAAATAAATGGGATGTCTACAATACACATAAAGATACTGCTAATAACAAAGACAAAATTTTGGTATGAAAAACCTACCTTAGGAGAAGAAGAAAGCTCCCTCGATGCAGGAATAGCTGACGTGTTCTCACTCATGCCTGTCTCTGTCTTTGGCAAGAGATTTGGTGGTTCAGGAGCCTTTCTTTTCATCTTCTTTTCTGGTTCTTGCAGCGGAGCAACTTTAATTAAAGCAGGGCTTGATTTTGGTTCATAAAATGGATTTGATCTAATTAAAAGAAGGGAAACATATTTCTTTGCTATCTCCTTGGAATTAAAACCGAAAATAAGACCTGTTTAGGAAGCCAATGACTAAAATGCTTTTATTATCCCACGTAAGAGTATGTTTTGCCTTTACATGCTTTTAGATTCTACTTTTCCATATGATTGAAAAGTGAGTTACAACAGCTAAAACTGCATTAGGTTGAATTTCCATAAATTTTATAAAGTCCTGTAAATTGCAGAAGTTTTATCCATTGCATAAAGCTCTCTCTTCCATTATACTTCGCTGTCTATCAAAGAGTGATCTGATTTACAGACAAGCTCAATACCAACAAATTTGAGTGAGGCTGCTGGCTGTTTAATATTCTAATGAACAGAATTAAGAATGCTTTGTTAGAAGAGAGTTAAGAATCAGGCCTTTTTACATGCATGCTTCAACATGGCTTTAGACGCCTCACTCTTGGCTGTCCAAGTCTGAAAATTTTGGCCTCCGTGGGTACACAATCCACATCGACTGTATTTTAAACTCTGCAGCATACAGACACCACATCATTTCAAGAACACTCTTTGGATAAGAGAATAGTGTAAGAAAACCACAGCTGACTTGTGTATACCTCTCTACAGATACCAGTAGCCATCATCATCTGTCTATTTTGAAAGTGCTTTTTATAACTCATTTAAGAAACACAGTAAACATCTTCCACCAAGTGGACGCAGTCCAAAGAATTATTCTTCTTAACTCTGGTGTTCACGTTCCAACACCGCATTTGTTCCACCCTAAGTAAATACTTCCACAGCATTTCCAAATCTTATCTATTAGTTTGATACATCAAATATCAATCAATAATACATCAGATAATGGCTTCTACTATGCACTTAGTAAAGCCAGCAATTTTGTATCCTGCTAAGGATACTTATGGGAACTTTCTTTGCACTGAATTATTTTATTCATAATCTTCACTTTTCATATTTTGCAATCGAAAACTGGCCAGTTAATTACAAAACTGACATGTTAATTAATTCCTTTCTAGTCCATACTTCCTCTGCAAGACATATTTATCATATATCTCAAACTGTGTTTATGTAACTAATTCACGACAAATAACCTCAGTCCCTTGAATTCAACTCTAGATGGAAACAATAACACATACAGCATTAGATGAGAGCCTGCCTAGCTGGATCCACTTTCAAATTTCCTCCCAGGATAAGAGTCATGAGCTAGCACACACTGGTTTTAAACAACAACAGCAGCAGCAAAATTTAGGCACAAGCGAAAAACCAACTATTCATCCAGTTTCCTTTCACACCACACCAAATTTCTCTCAGCTTTAGGTACTTTTAGTATGAAAACATGTCTTCCAGTCTCAAGGACTGATTTTAGAATTTATTTTAATGCAGTTTACTGTCATCCTCTTTTCACCGAGAAAAAGCAAGCAATTAATAATCCACACCACAAAAAGTCTATTTCTGAAAGGCAAAGTTCAATGAAGCACGTAAGTGAAGACCGGGCATAAAACCTCCAGACCTTTCTGAGAATCCGCACCTGCTTGTTACGGAGAAAGAGATCTAAATCCAGATACTGAAACAAAAGGAAAGACTAACACTAAAATAAGTCATCTGCTAACTGAAGGCAACTTTCAGGTGTTCCCACTTTGCTGACTATCAAGCACAAAGCCACCAGTGCAATCAAAACTAAAGGCAACATCAAATTAACGAGTTAAATAGAAACGGATGGGTGTTTTCCATGGGAGGCAGTAGAAAAAGGAGGGTATTCAGGCTGGAGTGGAGAATGCACCTAGCTGTCAGTAGCTCTAACTTAGCTGACAGCCCAGCTCAGCTGTCTTCAGACACCGGAAAGTTCAAAGGGAGGTGAAAATGAAGATAAAAGAGATAAGGGCTGAAGAACAATGCGTTCTACAGGAGAGCGCAAGGTTTTCTTTAGTTCAACAAGTTAGCCTTCTGAACAGCCAACAGACACAGCATGTTTGGCAGGAAAGTAATTTACCCCTGTGTACTTGGAATTAGAAAGGTGTATTCGTAAGGTGTTAAAATGAATTTGGTGCGAGGAAAAAAAAAACCACCTTACCAATGAGAGCAAAGAAGTTTAGAAGAACAACCTTTTGAATTTTTATGCTCCAGAATTGTCTGCTCTGTGTGCATAATCTTGAAGAATTGTACCCTACTGCATGCACCAGAAGGAAGTGTTATAAGGAGACAAGTGACTGCCTTTTTTTCCCTAGAGAAGAACTTGCTTGAGAGCCAGACTAAACCCTCACATTTTGGTGATAGTACGGGCAGAACACACACACACTACTTTCCACCTTCCCCTCTGCACCGCTTTTGATTGGTCTTACAAATATTGAGACAGATTTTTGAAAAATTAAGTTTAATACAGAAAAAAACCCCAAAATGGTTCTTCCTCAAAGAGGCTATAAATTTTGAAGTCATGGAGGTCTGATATATGTAGCAGAGTTTGGTCCACCAGCTTCCATATGGCTATACAAGAAACTAAGCATGGGAAAGTCTGTCTGAAAAAAGCCTTAGCTGAAAAATATTAAAGCACTTTTCTCTGAGGTCATCTCCCGTATTTTTTGCTTCTGTGAAGCTATTAATTGATCCACACAATTTGATTTTCCTAAAGAGATACTGGACTGTCCACCACAAAATTAAAAAAACCCAAACCTGACAAACTACCTGGCATTAAGCTGTCACTGGCAGTGTGGTGCCTTGTGGCTTCTTGTGCAACAGGCAGCTTCAACAGATGGCAACTCGATAGTCTTTCCAATTAGACAGCATTATTCTAAGCCGTGCAATGATTAATGAGATAAGAAGCCACAGAGCCAAATAATATCTGAAAGCAAGTTTTATTCTGACCAATTTAAAAATTATTTTGATCAGCGTTACTGGTTAACTGAAAAAAAAAATTCAACATTTTATTGAGGAGGAAAACCAAAGCTGTCAGTGTGGTAGGGTTAAAAGATCAGGCAATATCACCAATCAGAAGTACTAAGGTTGAAAGCATTATACTTTAAGTAGTTGTGAGCTATGCTATTTTCAAATAATTAAACTTAACTTAGCAAGGTGTGCTGTCCTTTATTAACAGGTAGCCACCTACCATTTTGATTTTAATGTATAAAATTCAAAAAGGCAAAAGCAGAATTTTACACTAACATTCAAATGCCCAAACTAACCAAAGCAAAATGTGTTCCTTATCTCTAGCTAGGTATGAGAATTTACCCAGAGGAAGCATGTTTTGAGAGCATAGTTTTACAGCAGAATATATGTACTGGATCATCTAAGTCCCTCTATACCATGCAACGCCTCATTATGCTTACGCTTTGCTTATGTCTGTTGCGAAATCTTACGTTACTGTCACAACCATTAGTGAAATATGTTTCAATTAAGCCAATTACCCAAGGTAAATCCTTCACAGAGGCGCAGTGAGGGTAAGTACCTTTTCCAAGATTACAACGAGACTCTGTTACAAAACTGGAGTCAGAGTTCAGCTCTCGGGGCACTTTGTGTAAGCTCTGAGTCCAGAATCAGAACTAGGGTTCTGCCAGAGTAGAGTGGGACAAGGGTCCTGATGCTAACTGATGTGTCCATGTTCCCACGACACATCATTGCATTTCACACAAAATACAAGAGGAAAATGCCAAGTGGTGCATTAAGTGAACTCCAATGAAACATTTAAGATGCAGGGATAAAAATACATTGTATTTCCTGAGTGACAGTAAATGTCTTTCAGGAGCCTTCTATTTCTCATGCCTTCCATCTACCAGGTTCAAAACCACTCCTGGGGAAAGCACTAGACCAGCAGTAGTCAAACATGATTAAAAACTACCCAAAAGAAAACAAAACAAAAAAATCAAAAGACAAGATGTTAGGAGAGAGTTTGAAAATAATATGCAAAGTTTTCTAATGCCATGATATGACTCAGTTGTTCAGCCTTGTCTTGAATACACTGCTCAGGCCAAGTCAACACATCTTAAAATAGATACATAGCAGAAGAAATAACAGGGTCCAGAGACGTGCGGTGAAAATGATTAGAGAGATGAAGAGACTTCTGTATGAAGAGAGATTGAAAAAGTTAGCACCATTTAACTCAGACCAGTGACAAGAAATGGCGAACACGCTAGAGATACACAACACAGCAGATAAATCCAATACTACTAATTGTTGTTTTGATAAGCCAGCAGAAGAGATAGTGTATGGGATTGGAAAGGTAACTTATTTACAATCAATAAAAGGAAACACATTTCATGTAAGATCTTCGTTTTTTGTGGAGAGCTCTGCCACAAATTGACACTGAAGCCTAGACTTTAATAGGATTTGGAAGAAGATTAGCCACTTACGTAGATAATAAAAGCATCAATATTCAAATTAGATAAGAAACAATAGACATCTGGCCATAAACCCTCATGATTTAAGGCACACAAAAACTACCAACTGGCACTGCCTATGAAAATATTTCCTTCACTGCTCACTGTACCATACCTTAGCAGAAATTTTCTATTGAAAAATTTGAAAATTAATGACATGAGGTAAGGCATAATAGTGCTTGTAGGTGTGAGTTAGTATCACAAGTCCTGTGTTCCTAGACTGGAGTTTTATCATTACACTTACTCCTCCAGAGCGTTTCGGTATAAAGATTCAAAAGTTCTCCTTGCTATACTTCTACCCAATACCCATTTAACAAATGGTCTCCACGTCTTTTTCAATGACATGGCGCTCCTGTAACTTGGGAGGAAAATGTGGAGAGGAAGCTACTTTGGGGGTCAGGACATAAAAAAAAAACTTATGTAAAAAATGCAAAAAACTATTTTACAGTGCTTTTTGACTCCTTATCCTTCCATCTTTCCATGGGACATTGCTTTTATAATGAAAACACAGATCAGATTTATCTTCGGGTAGAATCCACCTATGGGGCGCTTATTTCTGTCCTTGGGGAAAAAAAAAAAGGAATAAAGCAAATGGGGTCATTAAAATAAGAAGGAGGCTGTTGTAAACAAAGGGCAAGAGAAATCTACAGTCCCATACACAGAAAAAACAAGGCTGCCTGTTACAACACTGCTGCAAGCCATTTGGCACAGATTTGCCCAGGGTGGAAATGTGAGTTTAAATATAAAACGGAGAAAACTCTTCGCTTGCCCATCCATGTAACTTTTGTTCTTTCTGCTCTTCTCCTCAGTCTTTGCTGTCCTCTATACCCATATCTTTGCAGGTGTAAAGTATACATATTTTTTCCCCCTGCGGATTCTGGTGATCAGTGAATGATCAGGGATGCCTGGTGTGACCGTCAACAGTGTGATCACACTGTGCTCTGAAGACACAGCAGCCAGTGCTGTTTGTTCAGGCAGTGCCCTGATGAATGGAGCTGGCAGAGACATCATTCCCCAATGCCCATTTTTTTTTTTTTCCACAGAACAAACAACAACATCAAATCCATGGCCACAGAGCTTTAAAAGGAAAAAACCCTGCAGGGTCCTTTATACATTTCTATTGGAGAGCATGGGAATCCTTCAATTTCCTAGAACACAGCTATAAACAGAGAAACATAAAGATGATGATCTGACACTGTATTAACATTAAATATGAAAGCAATGCAAATGTCAACCCATGATAAATCTCATTAAATAATGTAAAACTAAATGTTAATTACAGTTGTTATCTGTAAAATTGCTCGCATGTAATCACCATAAACTGTCTCATGAGTGGTGTGGTTGGTGACTAATGACCACAAACAAGGAGTAAGTATATACCTTCAAAGCTGCACAGCTATTGCAAAAAGCTCTCACTCCTTGTTAGGTTTCTACGCTATGATACAAGGCAATCAGTGTGAGTTTATAAAAGTTTTATGTGTGGTTATGATAAAAGAAACAACCTAAGGAAGTGCATATGGTGTTATCTTTCCCATATAGAGATTCAGTTTTATGAGACTCTCAAAAATGTGCTATGCAGACTGCAAAACGCTATATGCACCAACGTAAAACAAACTCTCCATTATCATTAACAAAAATTATTATTTTATGTAGTAAAAATAATGGCAAAAAGGACAGGAAGGACCAAGCTCTGCTGCTCCTTAGTTTTTGACTCATTTGCAATTGTCAGGGCATGAAGTGCCAAAAAGGTACACAGACTTGTTCCCTATCAAGTAACTTGCTATCAATGAGGCAAAGAAAAGCTTCCTAACTGATCACGTTCAGCTGAATAGCATGACTTGGGGGTATGGTATTTCCTGCTGCTGAGCTGCTTCAGGATCAGTCTGTCCTAAGGAGGTGATTAAGGATCACCATGGTTGAACCCAATACACCTCAAGATTAAGCCAGGGATCCCACTAATGCTTCCAAAGCTGCTGAAAGATGAAGAATCGTACTTACTCATCTAGCTCTTCCTCTTCAGCTTTAGAGGTATCTGCATAGAGGTATTTGCTCATATCCACTGGTCTGACGTTTTTCCTTTTTGCAGGTTGTGGAGGAGAATCTCTTACAGTTACAAATGTTTCAGGCTCATGATCTGGCTCATCAAATGGGTTCAAGTATTCTGGGGCATCTTCATCCTTGAAGGGATTGTAATTGTCAGCATAGAAACTTTCTTCTGGCTTTGAAGATGAAGCTATTTCAGTGTCCGGTTCTACCAAATAACAAAAAATCATTAAGCAGATTTAACATAGAAAAAATTTGAAACCATTTATCAGATCTTTATATTTTGAAGGCTTATGAAAAGGTCTGCTTCTTAACCCTCAATACATAGTCCTAGCCTTAGATGAATTTTCACACTTTATTTATCTACAGTGTAACCTTGTTTATTCAAAAATAGGTCTTTCAAAAGGTCATTTCATCTAGAGTATATTGAATAGGTTTCATTTTCTCACTTACTAAAGCTCTTTCACCTAATTAGTTATTAGTTTTCTTATTTGTCATATAAATGGTATTGCAACAGATTTTAAAACATTTTCCCAAGCTATTAGCCAATTTGTATCCTAACAAAATGTTCTTAATTATTTATTTGAGCTTTCAATAAAGAAAAAAGATATCCTGTATTTTATAATAAAATTACTTTTACTGGATATTAAAAATGGTGATAGTAAGTAGGTGGTCTTTTCATTTCTTAAAATGACTGAACTAAAAATCAGTTATTAGGTATGACCACTAATTACATTTCAAAACATACATATTTTCCACTGCTAACTGCTCCTGGTAATAATACATAGTATCACAGTAAAAATGAATTTAAATTAACCCTAAAGAGACAGATAATCAAATTACTCATCTATTATTTGGGTTGTACAACAAAAAGTTATTAGCAACCTGTAGTGTAACAGACACTACAGAAAGAACATTACACAAAAGTGAATGCCTGCTGGATATTGAATAATACAAATCCCCATACAGCAATACAACATTTCTTACAAAGACACTTAGTAATATTAATCTTACTCTTCCTGCAGCATCAAATGATCCAAAACTCAGTTCAATATTAGATTTGATGTACTTTCAAAATCTATGCAAATAGGAACTTCAATGTAGTGTTATTAAAACCTAATTTTCAATAACCATTCCCACATTATTCTTAAATAAAAGTTTCTTTTTCAGATGTATAGTTACTAAATTGAACATAGCATACCTTTTAGCTTTAAAAGAAAAACTCTAAATGTCATTTGTAGCAAGTCATTAAAAAATAAAAAGATGGAGTTCCAAGCGCGTTTGTCACTAAACAAATATTCGGGAAGACAAAATCACTAGTCATACAACTAACAAAGGGAAGGGGCAGCAAAAGAAACAGCACTGTCATTACTTGGTTTTGGATGGATGATGTACTGAAGTTGCTAATCCTGGTGAATTGCTAGAAAATGTAAGTGTTCTCTACTCTGCCAGTAAACTTCCAGTTCACCCTGTCTCCAGCCATTAGCACAGCCCAAGGTCATATAAAGCACTATCCCACGTAGTGTGACTGACTATAATCTATAGTTTGAACAAGAGCCACTCCTAGTTGGAGAGGAATATGGTCCCCAGATACAGGTAGCAGCTTCACCTATCTATGTATTGAAGTAGTCACCAGTCACTAGACCAGGGCAAAGGCTTGGAGCAGGAAAGGCTTTAGCTCTTCTCAGAACAACTGAAACCTCCCAGGGACTGGGAAGATTTCATTTTAGGAAGAACCTCACATTTCCAGTGCTCCTCTTCTTCTTGGTTCTTCACATTTGAACCTCAAAGACTATGTTATCATATTGTCTTCTACACTAAGTTTCTAAGGGTCTGTTTCTATAGTGATGGACCATTTCTCTATGATCAGAAAGTAGAAATCAAATGGGTTTGGCTGGAATAACAGAATAAATTAATCAAAATCTTACTTAAGACCAATGTGGATCCTCAGGAGATAAATCACTCATCTGAGATTGAGGGTGAGTTCAGCTGGGTGAAATGAAATAAAATTGTACTTTGCCAGACAATACTGCAGGTTTTAACTGGTAGACACAACTACACACAGTGCTTGTGGGATTTCCCTATGGTGATTATTCAGAAAATTACTTTAAAAAATTCCTTTCATTCCAGGTGAGATTTGCAGTTTCTTATTCCCTCAGCAACCTGGTCCAACTTAGCATTAAAGAAGCAACATATACAATACACATCTATCTCGCGTATCTCATAAGTTCTTGCATTTAACTTCAATTTCAGAATGCAGCTAACAACTGTTTCAAGTCAAAACCTGGAGTAAAAAAGGAGACTGAGAAGTGTAAACCAGACACTGCACTGAAATGGGATGAGACAAAGGTAAAGTGAGATCACAAGAAGTTATTATTATGCTTAACGGTCAGTCTTTACACTATCAAAATGTGTTCTAAAAAGAACTAATTAATCAAAATCCTTGTGACTAACAGTAAAAAAAGAAATAATCAGGGTTGCAATAATAGTCTTAGCTAAACCTAAAAAAGAGGTTCTGTTGCTGTTTAAACTGGTTAAGCCTCACCTGAATGTCATAAAACAACATTTCAGCTGTGTCTTATGAGATGGACATATAGACCAACCACTGCAGGATAAATCAGGGTGTGTATTTGCAGCATGTCAGCTGTAGTGTACGTGTTCGCTCCTACCCCAGAGTAAATACAACATGTTTATCCCTTAATAGAAGGGAATAAACTACTGGGCACTTATCCTGGGAGAAAGGGTAGTTACTGCACAGTAGGTGATGCGTATTAAGCTCACACCCTAGTTTATGTGTGGTGATTTGTTCATAAGCCCGCATCCTTATAAGAAAGATGTTTCAGAGAAAGCCACAATAAATTAGTATTGAAGGTCTACAGTTTAACTGGCAAGGGAAAAGAAATCATTCAAGGCAGAAATTCTTAAAAACACAAATAAGATCAAATCAAGCAAGAATCCTTTGACAGTATTATAGATTAAATACATCAGAGCAGAGCCCAACATTTAAAATAAATGGAAAAATACATTTAAAGCTAAAACTGGGAAAGAGGTTCTACACTGGCTTACTTACATCACTCTAGTGTCCCATGCAGGTAGGTGGTCATGGCAAGCAAAGTTTTACCCTGCTTGCCCTGAGATGTCCTCAGTGTGGGTATCTGCAGCTGAGCTAGACTCCTTGACAGTCAAAGCTTACAGGTATATGTTCAAACCGTTAATGTCTAAAATCAGGTGAGCCAAATCCCACCCTTGCTGCATAGATATGCATGACTTGAAGCTCATGGTAGTCAGAATACTATGCAGATGTTACCCACACATTTAGCTATTTGATGAACTAGGCCAAGCAGAAATGCTTTTGAGATCTGCTCTCAAAAGATAGTTTCATATAAAACGCAGAAGTAACCTAATGAAATGCAGAAAAACGACTGATGTACGTCTTGTTCAGATTGTGCAACTTATTGATGACGTTTTAACCAAAATTTTTGCTGCCTTAAGTTCTGCTCAAATCTTAAAATATTTTATCAAGAGAGTGCACAACTATGAATACCTGCTTCTGCAACTCCATATGATGGATCATTGCACCTGCACATGAATCTGTTGATAAATACACATCATCATATCTGAGCAAAACTTGCTGATAACTCACAAGCAGTATTCTAACAAATATTACTAGAAGGAATGTCAGTAATATTTCCTGACATTAAAAACATTCAGGGAAACAATCTCTTAAAACTATCTTGTAAGTATAAAGCTAAACTAAGCTTTTATTTTTAATTTGCTTTTAAGTGTCTCCTGGAAACGACGAGTTAAAAGCTTGTTTAGATCTGATAAATTCTAAGGGGCAATGCAAATTGCAGGTTTTTGCAATTCTTTCTATTTCAACACTATGGATCAAGTGCTGTAACCCTAACCAGGACAAAATTATTTCTCTTGTTCATTGGCTCAACAGTAACTACAGGTTTAGCCTTAGACGCAGAGCATTGCAGATCAGCGCTCACAGACCTCTGGCTCATTATTAATTAAAAGATTTCACAAAATCCTACACACAGGCTAAAACTAAACAGCTTCTAAAAGCATCATTTTCAAGAAGCTTTTATAGGCAGAATTTTGTAGGGGCTCAACTAGAACTCACTTAACTTGGCTGCTCATTCTCTTTCCTCCTGTCATCCAGGATACTATTTTTTTTCTCCTCTACTTCCTTCAGCGTCCACATAGGAGGGAGGGTCCTCACGAGGGCCTCCACCTGAACCCAACCAGGCTATCTCCCATGGGGTCTCTGAAACCCTTTAGAACTCGCTTTTATGTCAAGAGTTGGTCATCACTTCATGAGCCTCTCTATTACAAATTAAATTGCTAGGACAGTGACTCAACAACACTGCTCTTAAAGCTGCAGCCACTGTTACCTTTTCTGTAACAAAGACACTCATATTTTCTAATGGTGTTGGGAAGTGCGTTTTGGGGGGCTGAACATACAACAGCTTAAAAGGGGCTTATTTCCCTCTTCAAGCTGATTTTACACTAAGGATCAACACAGATTCCCCTGCTTCCCCCTAATAATTAATCACAGCTGAAAACACAGGACTCATCTTTACTGGAACTAATTTTTTTAATTGCAGTTCTCTACACTGATATTAAACAAAAAGAAGAAAGAAAGAAAAAAGAAAAAAAAGAAGGAAAAAAGAAAAAGATGCTTGCAGTTTGGCACTCCAAGGGTCAAACACACAATAATTTTGCATGGTTAAGTAATAAAGCCACAGGGGTAGGAGTGACAAGAGGAGAGGTAGAAGTATTACTACAGCAGAAGCACCAGCTGCTCTTGTGCCAGATTCTGGAAACATTACTTGCCCTAACTCCACTGAGAAAGACTGCTCATGACAGCAATCACTCTGGCACTACCTATCTGCACAATCAGCCTTCTAGTTCCCAGAGGATCTCCAAAAATCACCCTGCCCTTCAACCCACTTGCCTTTTGTAACACAAACATATTGTGACACATCCCTTAAAACCAAACAAAACCCCCACCAATACATTACACATACCACTTTCCCTTTGGCAGAGGATGAAAGAAGAAGCCACATGTGAAAGATATTTAGTTATGCCATTTACTGCACTACTGGCAGGCACACAGTTACGATGGTGATGTGAGCAGCGTAACAAACAGCAGAGAATAAAAATGTAACTTCCCAGTACTTCTAGAAAGCATAATGACTGGCATCCCTATAAACCACTGGTGATTTTCTATTACTTTTATTAAAAGTCACACCAGCAACACATTAGATTTCATTAAGAAATATAAGGAGAAGGGACACAGTAATCGTTTTCCTCTATATTGGCTCTTGTACTGCTCTCCCTAGGGCTATCCTAGGAGGATTCTGGGGTACTGCATTGTAGCACTGTTTTCATTTGCAGTGTAACACATACTGCAGGGAGCTCAGAAGTCTATACATAAGGTAAAGAAACACACTGGTAAAGTCAATGCTGTTTTAAATGAAAGGGGGAGGCAGTACCAGCAAATAGTTACTCTCATGTCTCAGGTGTGTGCAGGAAATTTGTATCGGTCATATGCAACTTCAAAATTTGCATTTCCCACCTAATTAAAAACATATCTGGAGTGCTGAAAGCGTGTTGTTGTTTTCTATTTGCATTTGTTGTATATGTTGACTTCTCCAAGTAAAATATTTTGCACAAAAATTAACTGATTTTAGAGTTCTGTTGTAACATGACTAAAAGACAATCCAAAAGGCAGTCCTCATATGATCATCTACATACTGTCTAGTAAAAAGCTGTAGACATATACTGTTCAAAGAGATTATTTTTGATTTTCCAGATTTCTAATGTCTAACTGACCTACTAGATACCGAGGGAATAAGCCTCAATTTGACATGTCAACCAAGAAACACAGCTGGAGATTTTTTTTGAGGCGAGTTGTTCACATGCACATTCACTCCACTGTGCATATAAGATCATTTACACTAAGGACTTTTTAAACCACAGCAGCATCCAGAGACAGCTTGCTGATGACCCTCTGCCATGCACCACACCCACAGTGTGCACATGGATGCTGGGAGCACTCACGCCTTTAGTTTCTCTCCACCCCGCATTCCCAGGGTTAGGCGATTATGGGATTAGGAAGATAGAGGGAAAGTAGCTGGTTTGTGAACAGGCACAAGAAGTATCTGTCTAGGAAACAAGTATATACTGGCAAGTAACCCTCCTTTCTCTTTGAGTATCTGTTCATATGACATACATATTCATACCCTGGCTGGCTCTAAGCACTCTCTCACTAAGCACACAGGTTACGGGCTTGATAGGAATATCCCTGGAATATCTCTGCCAAATGCCCCATCGTGCCTCCTAGCATCTGACGGCAAAGTACTCAGGAATGGAGGCTCCAGATGGCTGTTCTGCACGATCTTGGGGAAATTAAGTAACAAATTCTACGGAAAGACTCTGAACTTTCACAAAGTCTAAATTCAAGATTTTGCCTTGTCCAGATAAAAAGATAAAGCAGACTAACATGTAGTGAATAGAAAAATACTTCATCCCTGCACGCATAAAAGGTTAATCTCTTGATTTAAGCAGATCACAAGACAAGTGAAACAGGTAATGTGACTCTTTAAGCCTGTAGGAGAGAGTCTCCCTTAAACTCCTGAACCTTTGTCATGCTCCCAAGCTCCTGCGGTAGACACCAAAAAGGTCACATTCACTTAAGGATGCAAAAGCAAACAAGTGGGCATAGTCTCAAAGAACTTCCTAAAAACAGATGGCAGCAATAAAAGTTCCAGTGAAGTCTCAGAGTAGAAGAAATGTCCTAAACCATGAGGGAATATACCTGCAGCCAAATGGGAAACAAACAGGACAGCCTTCTGTGGTAGAGCGACAGGGTAAGAACAGCCTCAGTATTGTGTAGCTTCAAAATGTAGTCCAACAGAAAGGGAAATCTCCCAAAAATGGTAAGGTCTAGGTGCATCGCATGTACAGATACTGATCCAATTAGTCATACATAGCAGATTCCTGCT